ACAAGATCCAGGGCTGCATGCTGATTGAGGACTGACCACCTTGTCTTAACTAAAATAAACCATAAACTTCCTAATTTATTTTGGATAACCTAAGAAATATGTTAAATATTCAGCATATGCATCAGTTAGAAAATCTTACCTGAAATCCATTTTAATGGATAGTATTTATTGTACTCAGTGAGGGAAGGCCTAAAAAGAAGCACTACAGAGAGATGGATCGAATTGAGAAGATGCTTGAACATGAAGTTTCAATAATATTTGTTTAGCAGCAGCCTGAGAAAACTAACATTAGATCCAAAAGCTTGTTTTCAGCAAGAGTTTAGGCTAAAATTGGTTTCAAGAAAATCTAGGACCAGTTCTATAACTCACCATCTTCCTTTGAAAAAATAACACTTATATTCCATCAGAGAACATAGATGAATATCAGAAAACAAAATTTACCGAGGATTACAGAAGAACAAAGACAAATTATGAATGAACTTGTAACAATAAGGGAAGTTTCAGAAGTAATTAAAAAGAATAAATCAAGGAAGGTACCTGGGCCAGATGGATTATTGAATTGGTATTATAAATGCTTTGAGGATGAACTTTTGCAACCTTTACAAAATATGAAGAATTCTATTTTACAGGTAGAAAAATGCCAGAGACTTGGAAAGAGGTGAATATAACATTAATACCTAAAGAAGGACAAGACTTGACTTTAGCAAGGAATTACAGACCAATATCATTGTTGAATAATAAGTTATTTACAATTATTTTAGCTGAAAGACTGAAAATAATTTTGTGAGAATTTATCTATGAGGATCAATGTGGGTTTTTACCTAAAAGACAGTTAAAAGATAATGTTAGACCTGTGTTGGGTATTTTGGAATATTTGGAACAACATACAGTAATGAAACACAAGCTGCATTGATCTTTTAGATGCAGAGAAGGCTTTTGACAATTTAAACTGGACTTTCTTGTTTAAAGTTTAGGAAGATACGAATTTTGGAGAGAATTTTATAAAATGGGTGAAATCTATTTATACTTCACAGACAGCACAAATAATAGTTAATGGAGATTTAACTAAACCATGTAAGATAGAAAAAGGAACAAGACAAGGTTGTCCACTGTC